CGTAGGAATTTAGACAAATCAATGGAATTTGCTTTTAAAATATATTAAAAGGCTCGATTGATTCTCCATAGTACCAGCATGCCATACATCACTATGCCTTAAAAGCTCAGCTTTCGCTTTTTCACAATCTGTTTGCCTATTTATATCAAGGTCAGCTATGCCTCTTAGAACCGCACTGTGAAATACGCAGCTGAAATATTAGAGGAGCATGCATGCATTACGCAAAGCACAACACAAATGAATTCAATGTTAATGTAAGGTCTCTAGAGTAGAATAAACCGCTCTTGTTGTCAAAAATGTCAGAGTTGGAAGGCCTTGATGTAATGAATGAGGCTATAGTATCCTGAATTAGTATTTAGGGAGAAGTCAGCACTTTTAATATTAGCTTTGTTTCCAGTGGGAGCTACTATTGTAGGTTAATGAATTCACCATGCCTGACAGTGCAGTCAACATGAGCTTCCCTTACAGAACAATCTAATCTGGTCAGATAAAAACAAAACAGGATTGAAGTCTCTGCAATTCTTTAGTAGTTCTAGTTTGGCAGGAAATCTGCTAGCTTCCCTGGACATGTCTTAAAACTACTTTGTGCAGAAAACCAACATTTTAGGCCATAAACCGCTGGAAACATACTGACTACAAGTAGATAAACATGACAACTCTGGAGCTGTAAATGCAATGGAAAACCATATTCACCAATGACTGATGAAGCTCTGGGGGTGAAGAGAGGTGGAAATATTTTTATGCCATTTCCTGAGCCCCACACAGACCCATATTAACAATTCAGAATGGTGTGAAACGCCAAGGCAGGCTGCGCAGCTGTGTGACTTGATGGATATATCCTTCCTTGCAGATGCTTTTCCAGCACAGCAGGGATAAGAGGAGTAACAATGCTCAACATTAAACAGAACATCAGACCAGAGAGGAAGGTGTGTGGAAACAGAGAAGCAGACTGCATAAATGAGAGCTGTGGGGCTCTACAGTAGAGTACCTCATTAGTGGTAAGGCTCAGTCATCATGTAATTACTACTGCAGAGATCAGGGGAGAAAAACGTTATAATATTACTAGTGAGTGTACTCAAAAATGAACCAAGGGGGCAGTTTGATTTACAAAATGAAACAATGTTGATAACAGTTGCAACTGACAGAAACATTTGACTTTAAGAATCCACTGCAAATGCTGACCCTAAATATCTATTGAATACAACTGAACTTTAACCCCTTAAAATCCCAGGCTTATTACATACTAAGGCTTAATATTCAGTAACTACAGGGACTTCAGTGCAAACTACCTGAGATATTCTTAGGTTATAGAAATGTGTAATAAAACTTTTGGCCTGCCAGCAGGCCCTGGCTATTTAAGGGGTTGAATGTAATAGATTCTGTCAAATCTAACCTTAACCTAACCTAGCCATTTTTTTAACCTTAAGCTAAACCTAAACCTACACATAACACAGACAATGACAATGAGCATATTGTTCAACATATGTAGATAATCTATAGAGAACTATAAAAATTAAGTGGGACCCAATTGACCTACACATCCTCCACCCACAAATATGCTCTTTTGTTGCAAGTTTAGGTTGGAGTTTAGATTCGCTACATAACATGGAGATTCCAACTTAAAATGCTATACTACCAAGTTGGAGAAAGTTTTTTGTAGTTAGTAGACACTAGGCGGGTTAGAAACAAATCTATACCCGATTTATCTGAACAGTGTGAATATGCATACAAAATGAATATCATTTAAAAACAATAAAGCACTACACAGTTTCCATATTTTAACAAAAACTTCTCATTAAATGTATAACAGAGATGGCACCGATCTGAAACAAGGCTTCGGTATTGGGCCAACATCAGCAGAAAATGCTGAACTGGACATCAGGGGGAATGAACAGTGAACAACAGAATGAATCTGATCCAATCCTGCAACAAATTTGACCTGAAATAGCAGTTGACTGTTTGAGAGGTCTGAGCATGATAGCCAACTTTTAATAGCTCATTTTAAATGAAGTGCTTCAACTCACTGTTTTCAAAGAAGAAATATATCAGATCGGTATTAGCCGATAATGGTTCCAGCATTGTTTTCACGAAAGTAAAGTGCCTCTAATTTGCAACATTTTGTTCAGCTTATCCAACCTTGCTACAGTTGCAAAGAGAGATATGTGATGTTGGAATCCGACATATATCTGATATGTCACAATGTGACCTGTGTCTAAACAGTCAGATCGGAGTTCATACGACTTTTACACCAATACAACTGATTTTATCATAACTTCTTATGCTTTGTATCTGCTTTTGATTTGGAGGATGAACGAGACAAGTATGTGAAGTGAAACGAATAAGCATGGTGCTTTCTAATGAGAGGAATCAAACAAATAGCTATTTGAAATCAGATTTACTTCAAGGGTATTTTGGAAGAAAGAGAGAAACAAAAGAGACAAAGGAGTCTAACTTAGATCGAGTCTCTATCAAATGTGGGCAGTAAATCGAACTGGACCACTTTTTCCTGTAGTCTGAAGGTAGACCCTGATAGGTTGAGAAGCATTCTACTAAGTAACGACTCACTCCACGTTGCAGCTAACTGTTACAAAGTTTCTACTTTAGCACAAAGAAACAGATACATTAGAAAAGTTCTACAAGGTGATATTTGACCTGCACGCTGTTTGGTCACATTCTAAAGAAGAGTGTGAGCACAGACCTAAATTTAATTCTGAACCCGTCAGTGCCACTAAGCACAATTTAAGCAGTCAGCTGTGGCAGTGAAAGGACTAAACAAACTGACATTGGCCACAAACAACAATGTAATTCAGTAAGCAAGATGATAGTGCAATGCTCTGCAAACTGGTAGGAACAACATTGAGGAATATCTGGCAAATATCGAAATTGCTGAGCTGAACCTGAGATTGTGACAGTATTATGGCTCTATACATGATGCAAAACACTACTAAATTTTTTGGCCTATTTTTACATTACACTCTTCTCGGGATGTGGGTAACATTCACAATTGCTAAAAAGGCACAAAAAACTGTCTCAGAAATGCTACTCTACTCAGAGACTCAGTTTTTTTAATTGTGGAAAACAGCAAAGTAGGTCAGCTGCTTACTTATCATCATTCTTTAATGACATTAGCGTTACTCAGACTCTCACTAATCCAAACACTAGAGGAAGATAAAACCATCCAGACTCACTCACACTTGGTCATCACATCATGTCTGCTTCTCTCAGGCTAGGACACAAAAGCTGAGCAAGGCGATAATGAAGGATTTCAGAGAGAGAAAAAAGGCTTTTATGATTACCAGACCATTCTAAACAGAGAAAAGGATGACCACGTGCCAAGTAGATAACACTTGAGCATGACATCACTGCTGGAAAAATTGTCTGGAAGGACTTGGAAAGGGGTGCAGGCTATTAACTTTGGTCTTGTACAAAAGAAAAAAAAATGGAGAGACTGTTTTCCATGCGTATGTCATTAAACTGATTCAGGATTAATGTAGTGCAAAGATGAATTTACATGCTGATAACTATATGCTTCTGAAATCTTTGTAGCTTTGCATTTCATTGAAACTGTCTGATACCTACGAATATGGTCAACATCAAAGATGTGTTAATCATGGCTTTCTGTAAAATTCTGTAGTTTTCCACCATGTAGTAAAGACAAGTGTCATCTTATCAGTATCAAATCACAACCTCTATACATAACTTTTTTTACATTGTGTGAACATTTCATGACAAATGGACCTATAGAATGGTTCAAAATTACTTGAGCTCTGATTTCTATGCTTTGTAAAGCAATCTTGAAAACATGCTACATACATACAATGTATTATTATTTTTATAATTTATTATTACTGCAATTAAATACCATTAAATTAACATACATAATCCTGAAACAAATATGGATCTTTTTATCCCCTTTTTATCCCTTTTTTTGTAGTTCATGTCTCTGGTCATGTTAAGCACAATTTATCACCCCATACCAGTTATAAGATAAAACAGTTGCTTTCCCATAATCTATAGAGATGCAATGACTTTTGCCAGCCTCCAAAACATCATCTGATTTTCAGCTACACTACCATGCACCTGCGGGCGGCGAAAAATAATATTAACCAATAATATCATGTTTCACCTCCAGCTCCTTCCACCCCCACCTACTATTGATTAAAACACTCAAATAGCTCAATAGCTCATGGACCTTACCCACAGTCCTTCACTTTGAAGAAATTCACAGTACAGACAAAAATGTGTTATTTCCAAGTCACGCTGACTTTAAAGATTGAAAAATTTCTGAGGGGCAGCATTCATAAAGCTACATGACACACACTTAAGCCTTTTATGACAACTGACATAAACCATCTAAATATTTATAAAGGTTTATTCCAACAAGCACCAGTAGTCATAAAAGCTGCTTTAGATCATTTTATTCCAGAAAATGTTATGACAACTGACCCTTTTTGGAATAAGTAGTCATACATGTTTATATAGGTTTGTCAGTCCTACACTGAAATATACCAAATAATTACAGAAGACTGTAGTTCAAACACAAAAGCAGTAAAGCAAAACAATCGTGTGTCTCACAAAGCTTCCTTGTTTCATAAATCCCTCACTACTTTTTTGAGACACCCTGTAAACCTTCTATATTTAGGGCGAGCACTGAAGCTCTTGGAACCCATGACTATAATGATGTAAGTGCTGTGGAGTCGAGACTGAATGGCTGGGATGCTGTGGTCTGCCGGGACTGGCTTTGTGGGGTGCTTAATGAGAGTGTTAGTAATACACAGCTGTACAGAGAGCTGCCACGTCAGTACAATCTCCAACATCACAGAATACAAAATACCAAGAGGACGCAGCTGTGGGCTGCAGAACGCAGCTTTGCTGTTGCCGAGCTACAGCTGTACAAATGCATGCTACTGTTTCCACTGTCTCAATGTCATTAGTAAAATTTCTTAATGAACACACAAAAAAGAAGAAACAAAAGTTGTCACTCAGATTTAGTATCTCACCTCAGGCTGTATTGCTTTGAATACAGGTGCATCCATCAAAGTGATCTGGCCCTTTAAGAGAAAAAAGAAGAGATCAAAGTTAAATATCTGATTAGTTAAGTCACAGCACTGTTTTCATGTTTTCATTTACTAATTGTTTAGTCTGATCCTATGTGTTGGAAAGGGAAAGGGGGAGATGGGGATGGGGTTGAATGGAAATAGGCATGTTTTCTATTACTGTACTGTAAATTTATAACTAGTTATATAATTAATCGTTTTGACACAAGGCTCAGTGCCAACTATTCATAACTGTTGACCTGGGTTTTATTGTGAACAATTGCGAACTGACAAAAAAAAGTGTCATGCAGAAAGTAACCTTATACTAGTATGAAATGTGGTGGTGGATCTGTAATACTGTGGGACTGTTGTTCTGCTCTAGGAATATTTAGGATAAAAGGATATTTAGACCATGAACACCATCAAACTAGGAGATTTAACATGCAAATCTGAATGCTTCGACCAGGAGCTTAAGAGTGGGTGAAGGTTTTGAGTCGTGGGTCATGATAGCCTTGTGCAGTGGCTATCCAGCTCCCCTGTGAGCTGAAGAGGAAATTCCACAAGTGAAGATCAAAGATCCTGAATGATCTAGGGAGATATGGAAGAAGGGTCTCAGATCCCTTTATGTATGTCATCTCACCTCATCTAGTTTTGTAGGCTCAGTGGTGTGAGTACAGAGATGGTACTAAATGCAGTGATGGTATATATCAGACATATGGTATATATCAGTGGTTCTCGCATTGGTCCTCAGGGACTCCCAGACGGTTCACATTTCGCTCTATTCCTCTATTCCTGCATTGAAAGTTGGGATCAATCAAAAATGTTATCTGAGGGACACTGAGGACTGGTTTGAAAATTACTAGATACATATAAAGCTTTTTATTTTGGAAACATTTTATCTTTTGCTTCTTTTCCCCATTGTTTTCTGAACACTGCACTGTAAAGTTTTTTTACTTATTTTATTTTGAAATAAAAGCATTAAAATAAGTTTTAAAATAAGTATTTTAAATGTATATATAGCACTTTTTTGTATGAAAAGTTCTATATAAATAAAGTGCTGCATAAAAACAACCATATTACTACAATGGCACATCGCTAATAATAATATTTTTTTTTAATGTTGTACTTCATTGAAAGGTTAGATATTAAATTTGAAGCTTAAAAGCAAAGAAACTTTTTCATAGCCATTTTTTGCTCATTTTTACCAAAGGTTCCAATAATTCTGGAGATGTTCCTCAGATGTTACTAAGTGAAGAACTAAAGTTCTGCCACACATCCAAACACTCACAGCGAACTCCTCAGGTGTCACTTTGAGCACGTCAAACACCACCGCGTCATAGCTCTTAGCAGAGTCCAAACTCCGCCCATCCAGAGACTCAGAACTACTGCTGTCCTGCAAACACAGACACACAATATTTAAAAATGAGACAATACAATATAAAGTAGTAGATTTCACTGCTCTTAATTTTCTTAAAGCTGACCCAGCAAGGTCAGCATCTTGAATATGTGGATAAGACAGGATAGGTTTGTTGTTGAAAGCTACACTATGTAAGATTTGGAGATTCAGAGACCTCTCTGGTGAGAATGTGTAATCAAACAGAGGAACATTCTCAAACATTGGTTGTGCTTTGCACGCTTTCCTAGAGTGAATGAAACTGATGACTGTGAGTAAGCTGAAAGAGCATTCAGAGAGAACTCAGTCAAAACTTGGTGAAGGACGTGTTTTCTGAGGATGTTCATGAGTTAAACACTATTGTCATCATATCATCATCAGTACAATGTTGATCTTGCATTTGAGGCAATCAACGAGTTGTACCTTTTTGATCCTGTGTGTGATGTCAGTGCATAAAGAAACTTCTTTGAAATCTGACCAAAAAATATATTTCTTTTTAAACAGACTAGCTCCTGTTTTGAACCTTCATCTGTGCACATCATGAGATTGGAAGGTTTTAAATTAGGACATAATATGAATCCATGATTTATATTTTGTCCTAAATGTTCATGATCCAAAAATTCGAAACAATTCAACTTCAACAGTGAACGCTTAATCAGCTTAACTGCTGTTGTCTAACTGAATTACTGTTACGTCTGATCACGTAACACAGAATATAAATGCACGGCTATGTAAGCACAGCGCTTTTATGATTTTATTGACCACCATGAAGTGCCAATCCATTTAGTGAAGTCCTTCCAGTAATATAATTGAATCCATTTTTGGATCTCACATCCAAGATTAAAAATAGACTTCGCATAAGGAGAAAAGATACAGTCACCATGAAATAATTTTCTCGCCAGCACGTTATCTTGACTCAGAGCCTTTGAAGCTCTCTGCATTATCTGAGCTCAAAATTAAAGCTATTAATTTCTTTGCGCGCGTCCTTCATTAATAGGATTCATTCATTCAGCACCTTCACTTTTCAGGCATTCATATCAGCTCAACAGAGCTCATAGGAAAGTCTATTAATGATGCACGCTCTTTATTCCATATTGGACTTACTGATCTCTCATGCATAAGTAGGAGTACCTGTGATTCGCAGTCCTAACATGTATGAACTTAAGTGTATAAGAAGCAGAGCTGAAACATTCTTAAAACACTTCAGTATGTGCAATTTACATATGAATATAAACATGAGGACTTGTGTGAGTTCATTTAGAACTGCTTCAGAGTCATAGCTGCAATAGCTTTAGCCTTAGAGACTGTGCAAGTTGTGTGTGTGTACACTCAACTGATGAGATGTGAAACGAAATGTGAAAGGTGCAATGAGAATACTTCTCCAGCTGTCAGGACTGATAAGCTTCTGCCCATGAGAGCTGCCGTCTTAGTCATACTAATGCAGCACACTCTGGGAGCAAAGTAAAATAACTGCCAATATGCCTTAAAGTCATGATAAATAGCCATCTATGGAGAATTTCCAAAAATACAGTCTCTTTGAGGTCACTGAGGGTAAGGAGAAGGTTCGAAGAGTTTTTGAGATATAGAGTTGATCAGCAGTTTAAGGGAAGATATAGGAAAGCAAGAGAGTTAGTATTACATGTATGCACAGACAACATTACATATATATGCACAGACACGACTATGAAAAAAGTGACTTTGCGTGCAACTTGCAGGCTCTTTATGCACTTTTTCAGTAGCTCCTGTTTTGAGCTTTTACACATGCATATCATACTGTTATATGGTTTCAAAATAAGACAAAAAAACTGTGATTCATATTGTGCCCTAACTGTGCACAATTAAAAAATTCTGACCAATGACACACTGAAAATTACAGACTTTATTCATTAAAACGTTTCATGTTCTGGTAACTTCCATACTAACGTACTGTCTGCTTAATCACAATGTCCAAACACCCTGATGAAACTAATTGAAACTATGTGCCTAGCAGACAAAAGTGTGTGTGTGTGTGTGTATGTAATACCTGGGTAGTGGCGGAGGTGATGCTGACACTGGCAGGGAGCCCATTCCTCCTGTACATGCTCTCAGCCAGATGAGGAGACCAAGCAGACCTCAGCTGCTCACTGCCACACACAACCTCGCAGCCATCCCTGCAAAATACAAACATCTCTCTGACCTTACAACGATTCAGTTTTGTTTTTGAATGAAACAATTCAGTGCAATACGAAATCTCAAATTTCAACAAAATTCTATTTAATTCAACTCAAATTAGTTTGGTATGATTCAGAATTATTTTTAAAAATATATGCAATATTTGCACAGTCCTACACCAAAGTCTGAACAGTCAAATTACACATTTTGTTGATTCTCTAAGTGAAAGTAAGTTCATACGTACAAAGAAGAAAGCTAAATATGAAATTTTTCTGCACATTTTAGCACACAATTCCTACTTGCAGAGCTTAGCACATTCGAAAAAATGTAACATAAAATATAAAAGGTGCCATTACTTTTTTCGATGTGTTAAATTCAGCAAATAAACAGTAACTCTGTATGCAATGTGTGTTCTCTGTAGGGAATGTGTACTTATTTTCACTTAGAAAAGACTGTAATTGAACAGTGGTGCTCAAACTTTAGCATATGACTATATAACAGTTAGCCAATAAGAACAGCTGATACTGACAACCCGTGGTGAGATCTCTTGTTGACAGGGCAAAACCTCTGATGGCTCAAACACTGGGGAACCCAGAATTTGTTGCCCCCTTTCTAAATATATCATAGCAGCAGTGCACAACTGCAGTCTTGGAGGGCAGCACAGCCTGGTTATTTACATGCTCAAACACACTTGTTTTAATTTATCTGCTAATTGCCAGGTTTAGTAGGTGTGTTTGAGCAGGAAAACTACCAAATTGTGCTGGACACAGATCCTCCATAACAACAGTTCTGAACCCTTGTACAGCTGTGAGATTATAAGTTAATACTGAGAGTTTATGTGGTTTATTCAAGTTTAAGGCATGACAATTAGTATTGACAATAATCTGTCAGCAAAGCATGGTTTAACTAAAACATACACATTTATATTGTATAAAATGAAAACTTAAAACATAATATTATATTGGCTGATATTTATAACATCAATACATGTGATCATTTTAGACCCTTAAAATTAGTATCAGCCACAAAATTTTCATATGGGCCAAGTTGCAAGTTAGACAATATAGACATAGACAATAAAAACAAATCAAGCCTTTTCTGGCTTTACATGTTTGAAATTACACCCAGAATTTTATTTTGACCAAAAAATGAGGACATTCTTTGTTGAATATTACTAGAAATGATTACAGTATTTCAAAATTGATGCAGTTGAATTGGCACCTTCAAAGCCATGCATCATAATGCATTTTTACATCCCATATTTATTAGTCACCATAGTTTGACTTCATCAAATTACTTTTGGCTCAACTCAGCAAAAATAAATTTATGGTTGTGCTTTATATGCATCCTTTCATCTATGCAGGCCTACACCAAATACCACATCCATGTGGATTAAGCTATCCTAACACTACTAATAACTACTAACTATGAGTCAGTTTATGACTGCTTAAAGTTAAGGCCAAGACAGTTCTAGAAATCAGTCAGATTACTGTTACTCTGCTTAGTGAAATTCCTTTCCTCAAAAATTCTTGACTATGTGTAATCCTCAACTTGACCAGCAGAGGGAAGGCTTCTACAGCAGTGAAGACTCCTTCCTCTCTCATCACGACTCCTGCATCCTAATGTATCTGCCCTACATTTTGCAAATCTGCCAATTCTCATTCCCATAAGCCACGTCTCATTTCCAGCACTTGTGTCATACCTATTGAACTGCCATTCTCTGCTGGGGATGTAAAACATTAATGGCTATTTGTTTGGTAATTACACAGAAATGCAGAAAATGCAGCCAAATTTTGGCATGGTAGAATGCAGCCTAACATGACGCAGATGGGATTTCTACAGCTTTTGTCCTCTAAATTGCCCCTTGTTACTCGTAATGCTCCTTCTAACCAGAGCCAGTGGGGGAGACAGGCAGGAAAACGATGACCGACTGTATCTCACTCCAGATCTGAAACAGCCACCTCAGCACTGTAATAGAGGAATTTTTTTTTTTGCTGAACTCTGTAGAGAGTGCCGTAATAAGAGTCACACAGGGAGAGTCCTTGTACTACAGACCCAGAAACCTAGCAAGAAATCTGTCTGGGCGCTATGAATAGAAGAAGTCTTGTCTTATTGCAGTCCTCATTCATTAACTTGCTTAGTTTAATTACAAGTGCATCTCTCTGAGAAACAGCGAGATATACCCCTTATAACTAGCACATAATTTACACTTCAGTTTCCCGTTTTTCAAGTGTACCTTGCACATGCGTTTACAAATAGGTAAGGGTCAGCAATATGATGATATTCATTATTGATGTGATAGGTCACTTTGTCACAATTTGTTTATATTGTGTATATCTTCAGTACTGACTAACTGCTTGCTTCATTAACTGACTTTAGTCCAAGCTAGGCCTAATTCACCAACCATCCACTGCCCCATTCATCAACAGAAAAGGACCACGATATAGTCTTGAAAACAAAGACTAGGCTGCCTACTGTATAGGGTATTAAAACTAAATCTAAAACACTGAAAAAAGATTTAACAGTTTGTTTTTATCTCTGATATACCTCATCCTAAACATTATTGGAGCTCTCTTCTCCTGCCTCCTCTTATCTCAATGTGCGCCTGACTGCTTTGATTACTGTCTTGTTCATTAAATCTATTAGACTCCATTAATACGGCCAATAAATCTACATTTCCATATTCACCAAGTAAAAAGTAGCTTCAAAAACCTTTTTTGAAGTGATCATCTACAGAGATGTTCGTAAAAATCAGCAAAAAATAACATACTAACCTGCTGTGTCTATGACCAGTAGCAAAACTGTTACTTTGTTCCTTACTCAGATCTTCAGATAATAGAGTAACAACTTTTTACACTCATGTACACTCATTTTTTTAAATCTTTCCTGAATCCTGTTTCTGTTGTTGTTTCTGATGTTTACTTAAAAACTGCACCTAATTGTTCCTGATATCATTTTTTTTTTTAATGAGATCAAGTCATGACAGGCCTCTTATCTTTTAGATCACAGTTTTCAAAGTACTTCTCATTGGTTTGACTTCCTTTGTTTGCACATTTTGTAAGACACTGTGGATTAGAGCATCTGAAAAAATGTAATTTGCTCATCTTGCTTGCCACCTAGCTTAATTTACTAACTAACAATAGATTGTATAGATATGAAAGGACACACTGTATCTGCATGTTCACAAAAATCTAGTCTACAACTAAAATGATATAGGCTAGAGGTCTGCACAAGGCAGGTTCACCCGCAGGTCCCACGTGATCTGGTAAATGTTTTGCAGGAGGGATTCATTTTGAGGCACCCCAGTCATCGCAAGCGGGTACTATGGCTGGCTGAGTGGGGCAGGCTTGGACGCTATTGGCTGCTTGTAGACGCGAACAGGCAAGCGATGAATGAGCTGCAAGTGTGCTGCAGTAAAAAAAGACGTTAGCAATCACAAGCAGCAAAACACAGGAAGCAATAGAACATCCAGTTGATAGCTTGCGCACAAAATCTAGCTGATTTTTTTCCACAACAGTCCTTTTGGATTTTTAACCTGTGTCGTGGCCTCTGTTTTGGCTTTAAATTGGTTTCAGCTGACTTGTAGACTTATAGAGAAAATAGCTAATAATATAATGCTGACACAGATAAAAGTAATGTTAGTAGCGAAGCCTGGCTGCTACGCTGGCATGGTGTGTGGTTCAAGCAGGCAAGAATGGGTAAGAATCACATTAGATTTTGAGGGTGCCAGCAAACTTGATTAGTGGATGAACCAGTTGTGTGCAGGTATTAATATTTTCTGCACACCAATCTTACCTTTTTTCTTGAGAGTGAAAATACAAGGGAAAAACATTCTATAGCAGCTAGGATACATACTGATAACTTTGACATTAGCTATCAAGTCAGCTAACATTGGCTTTGCAAACTATTTACAAGATGATAATTCTAAAAAAAAAAAGCAAACAACTTACCAAAATGTCATTCTAATTTACATTCTGGTGCATTTAGTGGTCATGTAATGGGTCATGTAAGAAACTTTTTCCCTCACCTGGAAGAGAGGAATTAGCTACTGAAAACACAAACAAGCATACAATTGCTACTCTGTGCTGTCTCAGAAAGATGTTACTTCAGCTTATATTAGGTAGACAACGACTGTATCTAAATTACAGAGCTGTGACCTTCGAAGTCTGCATTTTTTTGCAGAGAAATGCATCTTTCTTTCAACAGAATATCTCAGGATGCACTGATGATCCCAGCCTCAGCTAACCGGGTGGCAAGAACTGTGATATAGCTGCAGCCATGAATCCTAAACAGGCCATTTCATTTGGTTTGAGCTGCAGAGAAAGGCTGCTCAGGTAGACCACTGTTGCTAAGGACACTGCTAAAGATGCACTCTAGTAGTAACAGTTCTTTAATTGAGACAAACCTAACATTGCTTTATTTAATTAGATGTACAAAAAATAAATATGTTAAAAATAAACATGCCAAAAAGCAATGATTTGCAAGATGTCATAGAAGAACCACTTATGGTTTCCTAAAGAACCTTTGAGTGGATGGTTGTTTCAGGAATGATTTTTGTAAATGAGATTTGTGGGCGTGAAGAACTTTTTTAAAAGTTCACAGAACCTCCACATAATGCAAAGAAAGAACTCTTAAATTGGTAAAGAACCACTATATTATGTGAAGGTTCCTTAATCCAAAACTAAAAGCTTCTATTCATAAACACATTTTTTTTTTAACCAAAAGTGGTTCTGGTATGGTATCGCTAAAAGAACCCTTTTTGGCTCCTCTATTTTTTAAAGAGTGTATACTACCACCTAATGCTTGTCTGAGCATGCTAAGAACGGCAGGCACTCAGCCAAGGTAGAAGAGAACTTGCTAGCATGGGTATACAAAGGCTCCTCTTTAGTGGTCCTGCACAACTGAAAAATCTAGTAGGCTGTACTGAGACACATCGCGGCTTACTAACATATGCTATGCAACACATTTAAATCTTACATTTAAAAAAAAATTGCACTGATACTTGCAATGTATTACAAAATCTGTTGTTGTATCATATCGTGCTACACCATCTCGTTTCTAAAATATTTTAAATGGTTTTTAAAACTTGCAATGTGCTAGAATATGGGTATGGGAAACACCAGCTAAGTCCTTTGAATTTTGAAGGATCTTTCAATGATGTAACAGTCAAGAAATGCATCCTATCCTGACTGCATACTTGGCTTTGACGCCAAAGAAGACCGACGCCAAACTGTAGTTCCACAATTACAGACTGTAGTCCATCTGTTTCTCTGCATACTTTGTTAGCCCCCTTTTACCCTGTTCTTCAGTGGTCAGGACCCCCATGGACCCTCACAGAGCAGGTACTATTTATGTGGTGGATCATTCTCAGCACTGCAGGAACACTGACGTGGTGGTGGTGTGTTAGTGTGAGTTGTGCTGGTACGAGTGGATCAGACACAGCATTGCTGCTGGAGTTTTTAAACACAGTGTCTACTCACTGTCCACTATTAGACACTCCTACCTTGTCAGTCCACTGTGTAGATGTAAAGTCAGAGACGATAGCTCATCTGCTGCTGCACAGTTTGTGTTGGTCATCCTCTAGTCCTTCATCAGTGGTCACAGGACGCTGCCCACAGGACGCTGTTGGCTGGATATTTTTTGGTTGGTGGACTATTCTCAGTCCAGCAGTGACACTGAGGTGTTTAAAAACTCCAGCAGCACTGCTGTGTCTGATCCACTCAGACCAGCGCAACACACACTAACACACTACCACCACGTCAGTGTTACTGCAGCGCTGAGAATGATCCACCACCCAGAAAGTACCTGATCTGTGAGGGTCCATGGGGGTCCTGACCACTGAAGAACAGGGTAAAGAGGGGCTAACAAAGTATACAGAGAAACAGATGGACTACAGTCTGTAATTGTAGAACTACAAAGTGCACCTATATAGTAAGTGGAGCTGATAAAATGGACAATGAGCATAGAAACAAGAAGGTGGTCATAATGTTACGCCTGTATATCTACAATGTATACCAACAGGGTAGGTGTATCTAGTGAAATGGTCAGTAAGTGTACACAGTGTGTGAAAACCCAGCAATAATGTTTCGTCTTATACACTCACACCAGCACAGCACCCCCTCCCGTTTACACGCTACTATGTTGGTGACAGTGCTATGCTGAGCTTCACTGATGGAGAGCATAGAAGGTGGTTGACAGTAAGTATATTTTTACCTACTAAGTGCATCTACAGGATAGATTTGTCTGATAAAATTGCCAATTAGTAAACTGGCAACTCATACACTGACTGGCCGCTTTATTAGGTACACCTACCTTGTATGTGCACTCGTACATTTTATCAGGCTCAATCACCATATAGGTGCACTTTCTAGCTCTACAATCACATACCATAGTTCATCTGTTTCTCTTTTTTTCACCTTGTTGATCACTGGTCAGGACCCCCACAGGACCACTACTGAGCAGGTATTCTTTGGGTGTTGGGTGATTCTCAGCACTGCAGTAACACAGACATGGTAACGTCAAGGTAGTGTGTGTTGGTACAAGTGGATCAGACACAGCAGTTTTGCTGGAATTTTCAGACACTGCGTCCCCTTACTCTATTCTATTAGACATGTCTACTTTGTTGGTCCAGCTTGTAGAGGCGATTTGCTGCTGCATAGTTTGTGTTAATCATCCTCTAGTCTCTCATCAGTGGTCAGTTTCTGGCCACAGGGTGCTGTTGGATGGATATTTTTGGTTGGTGGACTATTCTCAGCCCAGCAGTGACAGTGAGCTGTTCAAAAACTCCACTTTACATGAACTGTGCTTCATAACATGGACATAGCCATGTTATAAACATTGTATGGCTGATGTCTTATACCTCCATTTTTAGTTTTCCTTTTTTTTGCTTAGTTACTTGATCTATGATTTTTTGTTAGTTATGTAATAATGTAATGTTTAGCCATTTTGAGCTTGGCCCATTTTTGGCATGGGAGTGTATGGCATCACAATAATAACTGTTGAGACTGAATATTGCTGAACAAAATCTGTATAACTCATTACAGCTTATGATATCTACTATTAATTGTTGTTACATCACAGTTGTGTAGCAGAGCTCAAGTAACACTGTTGTGTGTGATCCAACAGGCCACTATTATGTGTCAGTGTCACTGTTAGGAATGATCCATCACCCAAATAAGATCTGCTCAGTGGTGGTCCTGTGGGGTCCTGACCATTGATGAACAGGGTAATGGGATGCTAAGAAATTATTTACAGAAAAAGATGCACAACAATATGTAATAGTAGAACTACAAAATACACGTATATGGTAGGTGTACCTAATAAAGTGACCAGTGAGTGTGCAATTAGCCTTAAAGGCAATATAGTCAGAAATAATTGTATGATTGATTATAAGGAATTGAATAACGAAGCTCTATTATTAATTGGGCTGAAATATTAGTCAGCATTCACTGTATGTGTCTCCATGGGCTAATCTTCCACGCACTGATGAAGTCTTGTCTTGGATTAAATTACACTGTCAGTAAGGATTATTTGTCCAGGAAACATAACAGTGTCCTAATAACCATAACAAAGCTCAACTCATAAAAGTGCTACTCCAAAAGCAGAGAAGAGCTGCAAAACACTGAAACTAACCTCAGTTGAATCAGGAGACAGAATGGCAAGGGTGCATCACCAATCATGCATTTATGCTTTGCTCACACTGCAGGGCAAAGCAGATTTGTTTCTTAACAAAACTGTCCACACTGCAAGTGACCAAATACTTGATACGTGATTTGTATGGTCAGAGCTATGCTGCAAAGCCGTATTGGTTGACATGTTAATAAAAAGGCATAAAAAGGTTGACTAGGGCAGACTGAGAAAAAGCGAGCAAATGACCTATATCTATGTCTATATCTATTTGGGCACAGACAACAACAGAAAAGAAAGATGAGGACATTCGTCTTGCTAACTTTAGGATGCAGAGGAAAACATTTGAGCTTCTCCGTAGACTTCTACGACCTAGTCTTGCACCTTGCGACACACTTAGGGCAGTCAATACCTCTTGAGATGCGCATGGCAGCTGCATTGTGGTGACTTGAATTCTGAGGGGGTTATCAAACCTTAGTGTATCTATTTGAGGTGGGAAAAACACAGTAAATAAATGAGGCACTGCTACATGTGTATATCAGGCGTCCAAGGGGCAACCACTTCCGCAAGGTCATTCATGAATTTAGAACAAGGATTTTCTCGTCGTATGTTTTGACATCAAGAAGTGCCGGGCAGCGAATGATAAAAAAATGACTAAAAAATTAAAACCACAATTAAAACCTGGTCTGACTGGTTGCATCTTCAAAAATCTGACTTGAATTAGATTTGAAACCACCCACAAATGTGCCTTGAATCCAACTGGGGAAAAAAAGCAGATTCAATATGGCTTTTTGTCATTCAGACTACAGAAAATCTATCTTGCTCAAATCAGATATGTGGAAAGATTGGATTTGACCTGCCTTTGTGAACAAGGCCTTTAGTATTCTTTTGTGTCCTTATGTGGAATGAAGCTGTCCACAATGCTGTTTCACAGCAAGAAAACACGTAGAGGAAGGCTGTACTCTGACTGCACTCTTGCAGCCATGCTAACAGTAACTGTGAGAAAAATCAAGAATACATAAAATCCACATACACACACAAACACTTATGTAATGATGAGCAATAAACCCAATGCAATATATAACAATTAACAAAAGATGTGCAGCCATAGTGAATCTAATTCATGTGTAGTTTATGAACCGTAGCAGATTTGCTGCATTACACTTACCCATTATGGACTGCTGATCTTTACATGGTTCAAATCCACACAGTAATCCACACTCAGGCCATCAGGCCAGTCTCTTCACTTCGAGAGCTTCTTGCAGCAGGACTGTTAGAAATTCAGAATGAAAACAGAAGCAAATAAGCCGAATGCTCAAAATGTTTGTTGCTTTAAACACAAAATGAACTCATTCTTTCTACCATGATTTGTAAGCGTTCTTTACATTCAAGTTATCTCTTAAAGAATGTGATCAACGCCAAGAAAACATTACTGCAGACGAACATGCTGGGATAACCCATACTAGAATAGGTCCATTGGCTGAGATGCAACATGGACATGGTCTCTTCCACTGTTTGCTGTGACAGTTGCTAGTTTAATTAGGAACATGTTCAGCTGCTTATATTTTCTAACAGGTAAACCTTAAATGTTTCTGCTAGTACAACTCGTGAACTGACAGTTCAGTATATTCAAAGACTGAACAGACAATGAGAAGCTTGCACTTGATTGTTTATTGTGTGTCCCATGGTGACGAATGCTAACAGTCACACCTCACCTTTACAGGATGGACTGACTATGTCTTCTTAAACCTCAAAACACAAAACGGCTTTATTTTTAATCAAATTTAAAAAATTTGTCAAGAACAGATTTTCTTTAGGACATTCAAAACATATAAAACTTTCATTTTGATAGCATCTTTGCTTATAAACCTATAAAAGGATTTGTAGCTGGCACACAAGTTTACAGGTAAGATTTTGTTGGAGTACAAATACATGATTTTGGTGCACTCTGTGTTGCTTAAAATGTGTGTTGGACATATATGACATATTGAGGAATAATGACCTTAAAATCCACTGAATCCAAAAATTAGGATAGCATTTAAATAGTTCTACTAAAATTAATTTGTGCAATATTGGAATAATAATCATCATTTGTTAGGTTTCATGAATATATTTGATTATGCTATTTCTAGGGGACAATATTATTCATTCTACTAACAACAGTATTGGCCAATGTATTATTTTGATTTTAGCCGATCTGTGTTCCTTTATAAATAATGTGAGTCAGGTAAGCATACTCATAAAGAATCTGAATTTTGCTGCTACACCTACATTTGTATTTAAAGGTCTGAACACCCTGGTCAAATTACATGTTGATTTTTCTAAATGAAAATAGGTTAACACATCCTCTACAGTGAACAAAAGTTTAATTTCAGGAGGGAAAAAAAAACATAACTTTTGTTGCACAAGCCACATTTTATGCTTTATTTTTGTCTCCAAATGTGTTAGAGTACACAAATAAACAGTAATTGTGCATTGAAATGTGCAGACGTGCTCTCTATAGAGGATGTGCTAACTTAGTTTCACTTCACAGAAAACATAATTTGACCAGTGATGCCCAAACTTTTGCATACGGCTGTATATCAAAACTTCGTAGCATTATTATGCTTAATTATGCAAAGCAGCTTGTTACCTCTTACCTTTGAAGTAGTACTTTCAAATCAAACTGATCTTTCATGTATGAACTTAAAATGCCAGTTTAGCTGTAAAAATTAGAAACTGGAATCAGCCATGAAAATATATGATCGGCGCACCTCTATTCAAATTTAATTCTGATCACTCAAAATACTTCATGAGTTGACCTGAAACTGTTGGCTGGTCCTTGTTGTACAAACTTCTGATATAATACAAGAGTAAGACATCCGTCTCTCCAAGCCACATTTGACCACCAAAACCCCGCCCATCATAAGGCATGTGATCCATAGCTGAAAATACAACAGGAGGCTAATGATGGAGGACACGCACAAAATGTGTGCGCAAGAAACAAAACGGACATACACTGCTTTCCAGGATAAACTGCAGACAGCAGTAACAGAGCTATGTTTGAGCATATAGTAACATAGGATTCCACAGGACTGCGCATATGTACACAGAGCACTGTGCACATGTGCATATACAGGCTGTGCATGTACATATACTATAAGGTGAAACATATGTGGACACTCTACTGTTACACCTATATGAACTTGTTTTCATATAAACGTATTACCACTTCATGGCTGAGCTGTTAGACACTGTTGCTACTATACACTTCCAATTTACAAAAATAGCATTAACAGTGGATCAGGGTGGCTCTCAGAAATTTCACAAACTGACTTGTGGCAAAGATGGTTTCGTATGACAGTGCCACATTTAAAAGAGTAAATGTCTCATAGTCTCATAAGACCAGATGTAAACAGGCTTATTTTTTGGACAATATAATTAAAATGACTCAGAAACATACAGAACTGAGACACTGTAAATTCTCTCTTATATTAAAGGAGATGTCATCAAGCAGAATGAAGCAAGATTTGGAGAAGGAAGAATGTTCTTCAGCAACCATAATCGCCCAAGTGGAGATGCAGTGTGAACTAGGGGAAAATACAGGGACAAAGCTGATGGAAATGAGAGCTCACTGTGTGGAAAAGACCACCATCACAGAGCACTACTACGACACAGAGAGCTTTCTACTGGCCTCTACCCAAACCTGGCTGAGTCAGCACGACGGCCACTGGAGACTGATTCTGGAGCAGAGCCAGGATCACAATGAATCAGATAAGATGAAAAGATCAGAAAAGGACCAGGATGGCAACAAAATGCTAGACAATCCATCACCTTTGGTAAGGACAGGTAAACAGGGTAATGCTGCAAGCAAACGAGTACAACCAACACAGAGCAAAGATCCAGCTGATACCTCAAGTCAATCTCAAAGTCAAGTTCAGGATCCATGTACTCTATGTGCTTTTTCTGCTAGACCTAGATACACTGAGCTGACAGACCACATCTCCATTATTAAGCAGCTTGCACAGTCTCTGTCAGTCTCCGTAATACCAAGCGAAATACAGCACCTTAGCATAGAGAGCTTTCTGGAAACTGCCAAAATCCAGATGTATGACAGCTGGATTAGGAGCAGAAAAGTGAAGTACTCATTGCCTAGTGGCTGCTCCCTGGTTGTAGAGACAAACTTCAATATTCCCAATGCTGCTCCCTCTGCTGTTTTGATCATGAACGCTGATGTGCTGAACATCAGCACAGAACTCGAGAAGATGGACAGGATGCGCACACAGCTGGAACTTAAAATTAAGCCTTAAATCAAGCTGAAGCATATTATGACATTATAATAAGATCACAAAGCAGCATTTGCCCTGGAGACTCATCCTGAAAACCACCTATGAATGTTCTATAAACAAGAACTACTGTGAGCTGTGTGTTTGGGTTATATGCGAATACACAGGTGTCATTTCGTGCCCCATTTCACATCAGAAAAACTCACCCTGAACACCAAATGCTGAGACATTCATGGTCTCTGTAGCAATGAAAATAACTGTAATGCATTCATGTTTTTCCCCTCTTTTTTTATATAAGCTTGGAGACAATGCAGACTGCAGGTAAAAAGCAGCCAGATTAGACTTAAGTCTCACTCTAAGATCTCTAATGCATAACATTAGCATTGTATGCCATTGTAAGATTTTCTTCCAAGTAATTTTTGACCATTTCTATTGGTCTGTCCATTAAGACATTTACACATTCAAAAGAAGATGCAAGGTTTCTGGAGTACAAGTGAGATAATTAAATAGCCACAATGAACTACACTCACCAGCTTCTTTATTAGAAACCCCTACTTTGTAGACTGATCCACCTAGGTGCTTGTGCTACAGCCCATCTGTTGCTATGCACAGTTTGTGTTAGCCATCCTCTAGCCCTTTATCAGTGGTTAGTTTCTGATCACAAGACTGCTCTTGCCTGGATATTTTTAGTTGGTGGGCCACTATTAACCTAGCAGTGACATAAGACTGAACATTCTTCAAAATTTTTTGATGTTGAAACCAATACGTTGATGTCAATACCAATTCATGAATGGTACTTTTTCCTGATATCTTCTTTAAAACGACAAACCGAAAGATTGTGTTGCTTAAACCAGAAATGAGTGTGAATTGGAAGAACAGGTATTTACTGACTACAGTGAATTGTAGACTATCCAATAAGCACTGGTGTTGATATCAGGTATATGGAATATAGATTTTTGACAGCCGGTCACCAGTCTAGATGTTGTTAAGACTGACCACTTAGGAATTAAAAAATTTAATTTTTTTAGACTCGGTAGTATTAAAGTAATTCCGTTGGTGCCATAGAAATATTGCATTTTGATACCCAGGGTGTACATACAAGGTAGGTGTTTCTATTAAAGTGGCCAGTGAATGTATAATACACTTATCACATAAAGACAGACAGAATATTTATTTATTTAATCCTTTCTATGCTACTCCATTCTACTAGTGGTAAACACTTAAAGACATTGTGTTAAAGCAAATTATCATCATCTTTATTCTTATCAAAATTAGTTCACTTTTATGGAGAGCAAAAAATTATTTTGTCAAATTGTGACATGACCAGCAGCAAAATGCCACAGTCCGAAAAGTTTCTGCACTATATCTTTACAAAAGTACACCACATCGCAGTGTTGAATAGTACAAAAACAAATAATACAATAGTTTCTAAATATATCACATCAGATGATAAGTTTGCATAAAGTTGTAATTAAGTAAAATGAACAAGTACTCTGTGCTTAAAGTGATTAAAGAATTAAAGTCTTACAAACCTGACAGTTTTGTTCAGTTCTGTTTCTCTTAAAATTACACCAAAGGAAATGTTCCACAATACCGTACATAGAATCCAGACAGAAAACACATTTCCAGAAAGACAACTTAATATTTACTTCTAACTTTTATGTATTCACTGTAAGTATTTTAACTGTTTCTTTAACAAAGTCTGAAGCACCCAGCAACCAATGGCAATTGCAAGTTTTTGACTATCAATACTGCTAAAACTATACATCAACATAATTGTGCAACATCAATACCTGTACACCGCTATAGACAATATGTATGTCATCCAGTACTATAGCATCACATCACAAAAGACCACAGTAGGTGTTAAAAGTAGGGACAGTCTTTCTCCACCATAAACTCAAAATAAAGCATATTTCAGCATCTTAGGTGTCTAAAAAATAAATGTAGCTGCCTTTGAAGAGCGATCATCTACCTACACTGTTTCCTTGGAGGTGTGCCAATGACAAACACTAAATTCACAGTGAGCAGTGAATGAACTACATGTGGTTAAAAATGTTGGGGACCTATTTTCAGTTACAAATTACACCCCAGGCATTATATAAACACGTGTGCTATTTGGCTTCCACTCCTGTGCATCCTCCACACAGTGTGGAACTCAGTATTTCTTAGTATCACTCTCAGAAGCCATGGAAAGTATAGTTACGCTTTTCTTCGAAATTTACTTACATTTATTGAGGCACTGAATGACACTTGGGAAAAAAAGTCACACTGCAATTTCAGGTTTTTGACAATAAACGTAAGCAAAGTGATATTTGAAAAACAAAAAGAGTAGAAACAATGTCCCCATTTGAACTTTTTCCAAATGGAGTTATCATACCAGCAATGGAAATGATGTAGTTAGAGAGGGAATTAAGGAAGCAGTTTAATATTCTGGTTAAGACTGCACAATACGGACAAAATACAGGGTTCTTCAGTGCATTTGCCAATTCTTTACATTTCAAGGTCAGGAGAAAGCACAAATGTTTAGTTGGACGGTCTGCAGCATTCCCATATCAAGTGATATTCATTTAGTATTATTTATAAATGAAATTGGATTCAGTTTTACAGTGCAATCTTGAGAAAGACTGAGAAAACAGTGAGTCTTTATGATTTCTGAATAAAACATTGTCATCTTACTGCTGGAGAGAATAAAGCAAGATTAAAAATGCATATTGAGCTTGTGCTCATAGTTTTTTCTGTGTAATCCTCTATTTTTGATATCATGAATGCCACTGCTCCTTGGCAAAGAAAAATACTGCAGAACCCTGAAATTACATATGGTGATTAGTTTGCAACATATTAAGATATCAATATACCTTCTAATGCACTAAAACACATTACTGAACCTAACATGTTTTTGGTTTATTTATTTACTCAAATAATTTATGTTTGTTTGATTATGTGGATGTCTTGATTCATCCAAATAGCCAAATCCTCATAGCACTCAACAAAATACTCTGTGAATGGTTATGAGGCTAATTTGCATACTGCACTCTTCTGTGAAATTAGTATGGTGAAGGCTGATGTCACAGCATTTAAAAACAATATATTGTGCACCACTAACTCACATGCATGCACTTTCACAAGTTTCTCCACATCTTAATCATGCCTTTGACTGCATGAACCAAAAGGCCTTGCTTTCAGCCTTCACTCACTGCATGAAAGGACTGCGTTAAACAATAATTAGGCTCAGCATAAATCTCTACAGAGATACTGACGTCTGAGATTAAAGAAATATGAAGGAGCCAGTTTCTTCACAGAAAATATGAAGGGACATTTTGACTGTAATAAGTATATGTGAAAAATAAACAAATGGAATGATGCGATAGAAGTATGCTTTGCATCTTGCCTCGTACACTATTCGCTGCAGTAGAAAAAAACTGCAGTACTGAAGGATAATTTGCAAGAAATGAAGTCTATTTACAAAATTGTCACTTAGGCTATTCATTGTAAACACATACATACCAATGTTTCCCTTATGGTCACAATGTATGCTCCTAATCACTTTACTGCCTTCTATAATCTGTTTAATGGTTAAACATTTAGCAAGAATGGCCAAAAAGAGTGATTCAATGGCTAATTTGGATGTTAGAGGATAGCAGTATGTGCTGTGATACCCAAATTTTCCATCTCATACCATGTCTTTAAAGCTAACATAATTAAACCATGGAACTAATTCCAGTTGATATGAAGAAAATTACATAATTTTTTGATATATTACATGGCCAAATATTTATGGACGCCTGAGCAATGAATATCTCATTACAAAAGCAGAAGTATTAATATGGAGCTGGTCCCCCTTTTGCTGCTTTAACAGCCTTCCACTAGATTTTGTAACACACCAGAGACATGTTTACATTTACGCACAAGAGCATTATGCTGGGCTATAAGGCCCAGCTTGAATTCAGTACTCCAATTCATCCCAAACGTGTCGGATACGGTTAAGGTCAAAGCTCTGAGCAGGCCAGTTAAATTCTTCTACACCAAACCATTTCTTTATGGACATACTTTATTGTGGTTTAACATGAGAGGGCCTTACTTTTGCCACAATGTTGGGAGCATACTACATATGCTTGTGTGCATATGCATAAGAACACTTCAACAGCATTAACACATCAAGTTTGCTAATCTTTTACAGACTCTGAGATGAAACTGCTTACTCAGATAAGCAGTAACTCTATGAAAAGACAGTATATCTCTACCGTGGCCTCTGTCACCACTGGCACAATTTAGGTAACAGCACATACATCTGTTTATACATCTTAGAATCCAGAGTTAAGCACTAAAGTGCCCTTTTGTTTCAGAAATGACAGAGCAAGCGGTTGTCGGACTTTGTAATTACTGCGGTGGTTTTCTTTGTAGCATATGAGACAGCATCCTTCAGCCTTTTAATTTAAATAAAGACAGCTTTTGAATGCGGCACTGCTGTTTTACATTTCGATAGCACCCCAACACTAATCCACACAATGTTCTTTTTACAGCCACAGAATGTATGGTTTAAGCTCAAGATGTTATTAGTTAATATTATTTTTGCCCACCTGCTGGTGCACAAGCATGCAATCAAAATTCAGAAGACATTTTTGAAGCAGGGAAAAGTCATTAGATTTTTATTAAAGATTATGTGGAAAAAAAAATGATTTTTGTCTTTTCAAATGTGGTATGAATATATGAATCATGCTTCATATAAACTGGAACGTGAACAAATAAGGTAAAAATGTTTAACGTAAAGTATAAGGTAGAATAAATTTTGATCTGAGGTCGACTTTAAGGCACAAGTTAAACCTATTAGACATAAGAGGTTAATGTCATGCAAATCAACATATGAGAAAAACACATTTTAAGATCTACAAAGCAGGAATAAACATATGACAGTCTTTCAGATCTAAGGGATACATTCCACTGTATGATTTATTCAAAGATTTTCTTTTGGGTTCTTTTTTATGTGCCTTACTCAGCACTGAGTTATAAAAAAAGTGACATGCTGCATTTTTAATAATTCAGGCTACAGTAAGCTACACATGCATTTTTAACCACGAGTCTGGCAAGAGATGCTTTTAATATGTATAGAATCCATGTCTGCGGTGTGTTTAGTCATGATCACAGTCAACATGGCCAGATGAGTATTAAAATGAAACTAATTTTGTAGGGTGACAAATATGCACGAATTGTTGAATATTTTGTAATATTACAATACTGGCATTTTTTCTTCATTATTAAAAATAGTAAATGCACAGAATACCAAATATAACATAATGAATACATTAACCCAAACACGATTACATTGCGACCTATGACAGCAAATTAGCAGCATCTGTATGTGAGGAATGTTCGTCCTGGCTTAGGCTGCGCACTACGACAGCATGTCAAAGTTAAATGTGAAAGTAGAAATGGACTCGTAAAGACAGGTACTTTCCTACTTGCCTGTCAATCGATTATCAAGATATATTCCAGATTCCGACTGTACCGGGAAATTATTATATAGCATTTAGAAGAATCACGTGCTAAACTGGAAAATGTCTTGGCCTGTTCTCCCATGTATAATAGCCGCGTAAAAACAAGCCCGACGGCATCCACAGAGCTACATTTGCCCAGCAGTGCTGAAAACAGCCAGCTATACGTTCGCCCATGTATTTACATGTAATAACAGCTTTCACGCATCAGCAGGCTTTAAAGGCGAGCACCCGTGCAGTGACACTATCAAAACAAGCAGGGTATACATTTAATACATAGCCTTGTCCAGTTCCCCGCAAAAAGCAGCAACATGTTCAGCTATTCCATGACATGTGTAGCTCCTAGGCCATCATAAAAAATCCCAGCGTAATACTAAAGCACTGGCATACCAGCAGCATCCTTCACTTTGAAGGGTATCTTGAATGCAATGGCGCAGTCGTGATACTGAGCGTGGCAGATGCACCTTCCTTTGGAGGTAAATCAGGTTACCTCTAGTGACGCAAGACCATCACAGCCGTGTGTTTTGATGTGCCAAATGTGAGACTGGAGCTATGCCGTGACCGAGGAGGGCTTCTTTAACACTCACCCGTTGAAGGAAAACGCCGTCTTCAGACTGTCTCCACAGATTCAGCTGCATGCACCGGGCTTGGTCAGGCTGCTATGTATGGCCGTATAACGTTACAAATGCACCACGTCTGCTCAAAAATAACTCAAATTTCGATGTCGCTCCATATCCGAAGAATACTGCTGCTCCGAATTAGGTCTACATTTCTAAAAGGTGCTTTTTCATTTCGCGCACATACAACATCAGTAAAAGCTACAGCGCTTCGGGTAACGCTGGCGTGGGGTCGCCTACGATACTACCGGATGGTGGAGACAAGGGCCATTTGCCAACAGCTGGGCATTGACATGAGGAAGCGTCAGGTACGACCGTGTTTGATAGAAAGCAGGGTAAACCAATCGAGTGTCGACTTTGTATGGCTAGGTCCCGCCTCCACGCAAAGCAGCCAATCATTAATTAGGTCAGTATTGTCACGCGCAGGTGCCCCTCTCTCTCTCTTTTGCCATCTTCGCACTCCCGCTGATTCTGTCAGTACATGGAAAAAGACAACTGGCTAAAATGGCGAGCCAAATGTATAGTTTAAGGCTTTAGAGACAAATGGCATTAGATGCAGCTTTAAGCCGCATTTTAAATGTCCTTTCCAGCGTTGCGTTTGGAAGGTAAGTCGTTTAAGTCCCACTTGAAAATGAATGAATCTTTTATGACTAAAAAAAAACAGAGACTGATTTCGTGCATTCTGAAGTAGGCTAATGACTCGTGAACGTAGCCTTTTTTCGACTGAGGTTCTTACGTTACCAATTTGAGAAGGTGCTCTTTTGCAGCCTGGTGTGTCAAGTACAGAACATTTTTTAACAGCTCAAACTAGCTCTTTTAAAACTATCTGCTAAACTTCAACACAGACAATTAACTAGCGTTAACGGATATAAACGTTCATCGACATACACAGAGAAACCAACTATGGATGTTCGTTAAGTGTATACAGCGGCACCTAGCGAGCGAAATGAAGCATTGCTCTCAGCAATCGCCATTGGCGAATATTGCACAAAGGCATTATTTGTTATTTCCCCAAATATTTAGGTTCAGAGCCTATGAAAAGGGTTTTAAAAATGCATAAAATGAACATCCCCTAGACTGTAAAAAGCGGAACAGTTTTCTGAGAATTGTATTGATACTACTTTGCATCATTTCATCTACAGTATTTGAATTAAACTGCTTATCACATGAACACTTTTTTGACTTAACTGACAAACCATTTTTTACAGTGCAAACAAAGATTTACACAAAGACTTTGAGAGGAGACAATCTGCCAAATCAGCAACTTTATTTTACAAATGAATGCAATTTTAGTATCTATTGACATTTCTCCATCATAAAAAAGCAATTTACAAGCTCTTTAAAACAAAAATAAAAAAGCAGCACAGACTGATTATGAGCAAAATATATCATTTGAATAAATATAATCTTATATTTCATGCTATAAAATAAAATTCATAAATGGCGAGTTAATTGTTACAGCATCGGCACCAGCTAGCTTCATGTACTTCATAGTTGTATAAAACAGTAGAGTTCTGAGGTTCACAGTAGGGTTTTGTGAGGTTGTAAATATAGTGGAGTACAGAGAGTTGGGCAGAGAGATACTTCCAGAGCAAAAGCTAAAAGATCTCCAGTATTCCTCCATGCTGAAGCTCTGTGCTCATCCCATGCATACGGAAAAGCAACAACGGAAAAAAAGGCAGGTGCATCCAAGACACCCATGAGGCAGACTGTTTTTTGGGAACCAATGACTGAGGACTTGCTTCCCCAACCTGAAGTAAAAGTGCACAATTAAGTTGATTGGAACATACAAAATGATTTGCATGTCCAAAGTGGCCATTTCTGAATACTAGTAAGCCCTGAGTTCTACTTTTTTTGCCATATCACTGAATACATGAGAGTTAGAAGCTAACAGAATTTCAGAGACTGCTCAATATCAGAAATCCACTTAGTTTCTGATTGTCTAATTTGATCTGCAGTCCCAGTGCAAGGGGAAGTGGAGGAGATCTTTGTGGCTCTCAGGGAAGCAGGGTGTTCCTCCCAAGATCCCTTTCATATTTGACACAGATAAAAGGTGCAACGTTTTAACCGGCTTGCATTGAGGTGGCAGATGGATGGAGTACAAACACAGACAGACACACAAACAAAACAAAAGGCTCCACTCATGCACAAGGCTCTGAAACCCATAGCCTTCACTCTACACAAGGGCTGTGGACAGTGATGACCACAAGAAAGCCACACCTTAGAAGCATTTTCACTCAACTTGTCCAAATGTTCACAAAATCTCATATTAAACAAAACCAAAGATGAAGAAATAACAAACTTTAAATCCTCTCCTGATCTTGAGTTAGCTTGACTCCCTGACGACCTGAAACCACTCATTTTGAGACGTGACACTTCTGTAATTCGAGAGGCAGTCAGACAGCAGTAGTAAACTGCTCTTAAAAAGGTTATTGCTTTTGCATATTACACAGTGGAGAAATGTTGGAAGCAGAGAAACAATGGAAGACTTCAAGATTTTCTTTATAACTAATATCAGTGTTCATAAACTACCTGAAGTAAGTCAGCTTCATTAAAAGAACAAGCTGCAAATTCAAAAAGTAGTCCCACAACCTTCCATGTAAACACTTCTTTTTGATTACTGTACACGGCCCATACTGAACTCTTGGTTTTCTGTGAAGACTTGAACAGAAAGAGTGAACATGTATTCTAGTCATCAACTCGAGTTGGTTGGTTGAATATAACACAATTAGAATCATTCTTGAAATCACTTACAAGTATGCAATAAACCTTAAATTGACCCATAACCTATATGTATGCACTTTTTTGTATATAAAATCATCAATAAATACACCTGACCAGTCTAACAGCACCATTTAAATTCATAAACCTCATTAGAAATAAAATAGTTGAGGCCTTTATTTTTGAGTCCCATTAAAGAGGAGTAAGATATTATAAGCTAACCCCTTCTATAATGAATATGGAATATATGTTTAGATTACAATAAAAAGTTATGTTCATCTTAAGTGCATGCCAGACAAAAAATAATAAATTTAAATTACTTTCAAGACCAAAGAAAACCCCCAAAATAAAAATAAAATAAACCAATCTGCATTTCAATATTTCATTATATACGTGGTGACCACCATGCAGTACATCTTACAACTATAAATGGTCTAGCATGCACTTTTTCACCACTCTACCAAAAATAAAATAATAATAAACCAAAGAGTGGCTGACACACTTGGCAGAATCATTCTGGCAAGCTAAATTAATAGTCCATGGTTAAAATAATTGATTTTTCAAGAGGTAGCTTCCAGTGTTTGAAGCTGTCTGATTGTCCCATTTCTTATAACTTGCTACAATCTCTTCCTGTCAAAACTGCATATTACATTTAATGCAAAACCTCTGCTACTGCATGTTAGCTCCTCAGCTCAACATAAAAAAAGCAACTGATAAACATAAAAGCAAAAGAAAAAAAATGTTCATAAGCAAATTATCAAGGGAGGACCCAAACAAGAACATCTCAAGTTGATTAATAAGCATATGCATATAATCATTAGATGAATCTCTATACATATGGCCAGACTGAACTACATGCAGAAATAATACATAATACCTCTGTCCTCTAAAGATCACTTTGGGAAAGGATATGTCAGGGAAGTTTACATTATTTGTGGCAAGGCACAGATTTAATTGGAATTCCTTTCCAACTCAGTAAGAACAGACTTTCGCAAATCATTTTACTGTTCCTTTGTTCTAAACATCTAGAGCCTCGCCTTGAACTACTAAGTTTATGGCTTAATTGATGTTTATCTTACAAGCATATGTTTTAATTGTGAGCTCACAATTAAAGAAAACTAAGAAGAAAAAATTCATTGCCAAATTCAAATCTTAGTAACATTTCCTCCTGATTTTGGGAGAAACTCAGGTGACTGTTAAAAACAGTGGAAGTCTGGGCAACTAGGTGAAAAATATTTTCACACTTTGCACAGGTTAATTTGTTCTAGGGGCTGGTTTGCTCTCTTCAGATTAATGTGCAGCATACATAACATTATGCATTTTTGGTTTTCTCTTTGGTTAGCGGCCAAAATTGCATTAACTGCTAGGTGGAATTGATAAATTAAACTAACCTAGTTTCTCAGACACTGTCTGTAAAACAAACAGATATGCATGGTGTTATTCTTAACCAAAACTGGCTCTTCTCTGTATTACCCTACACAGAGACACATCATGGGCTACATATATAAGATTGTGGTTCTGTAACCTTTATTGCCCAAATAAACTGTCTTCTAGGCATAATAAAAATTATACTACTTCAGGTGGCATGGTCTAAGCTGGATGGCATTCAAACACAGGTTTAGCATTTTCCAGTCTTATAAACAATACGAGGAAAATTTGCTTTCAATTCAGAGGGATCAAAAACTGATATTAATGTAAGGACAAACCAGTTTAAATAAACTGAGTTCACTCTGTGCCTGAGGAATTTATAAAGAAAATATGAAACTATAAAAAATAAACAAAAAGCACCATTATGAAAACTAATTGTATGGAAACCAACTGCTATTGTGTAAAGAAAAAGGGAATGCTGTATAACCCCATTAAAAAAAATATCATATGTTAGACAAAGGCTATGCAACATCATTACCCCAAAATAAGTGCTATAGTTGCTGGATAAATATTGTAATATTCTAAACTATTCAACAGAGAACTTGATGGAAATAACAAATCTAGCCTAAGTGGTGTCTGTTAAGCAGGCAAAGAAGCCCTTGAGCAATGTGCAAGTCAAGTGTGTTTCAGTCTGTTGGAACATCAAAGACCACAAATTACATTCTGAGAGAATAATTAACATGGCAGAGAAAGGCTACAAATTGAGAGCAATATGAATCACTCACTTCAAAAATCCTGTTGTATAACTGCCAGAGATTGTCACTTAGACAAGTATATGTACTTCTGGACCTATAACATGAAATACTGACAGAAAATGCTCATTACCCATGTCAATGACTTTGCTGGAAATGTGTCAACAGCTACAAGTTACATGAGACTAGATGTACATCAGACTGCTTAAACAATAGTTCTGCAGTGTCCCAAAGACCATTTATGGAGATGTTTTTGTGCCTTTAAAAGCCTACACATTACACTATACTACACACTGATTTCAAAAAGTTTAGTGTGAAGGCATCAGAATAAGGCCCTCAACATACTTCTTTAGAACACCCTCAGACACCAAAGAATGGACAAACACTGCAAGCATTCATACATCTTTTTGCCTGAGCTATGCATTTTTCTCAGAAACCACTTTTAGATAAATTTCACCATATAGCTAATGATGCAATGAAAACCTGCATTCTTTTGAATGCTGTCAGCCAAACATAGTTGCAGAAACAGAACTCTCGTTCTTCGGGCAAATAACTCACATTCTTAAGCATTTCAAACTCAAAGACATGCTTTTCTAAAAAATCACAATTCATAATACACATAAATAACAATGATTGTTAACAGGACTTTTGGCTAAAAACTAACTTCAGTGTTTGTGATATAGACTCCAGCTTCGACTTGTAAAAATTTTAATTTTTTTTTTTATCTGTACCTTTCTGATGCATCAAAATACACCAGAAACCACCATTCCTCTTGTCTTGGAATTCATCCCGAAGAAAAGCACAAATCCAACTAAAACCTTTACCACAGTTTGGTAGGAAATAAATTTAACCTGTTTTGCACACACAAAAGAAAATGGACGGAAGTTTTCTTTATCTCTGCACTGCCTCAACAGAGCATTTTCTAAGACAACACGCTTTCACAAAGCAGTACTGGAGCTTTTAAAGGCAACAAAAGCTATTAATTCCCAAAAATGTGGCACGTGAGAACTATTGCATAGACCTAGGCAAAACACAAACCACTGACTTCCAAATAATCCCATATTCCAGGCCATATCCCAGCAAAAATAAACAGGCTAAAGTGTCTAATGATCCATGTTGATTTTGGATTGGAAAGGTGGACACACATTCACAGATCAATTTAGGGTGAACAGATGTGGTAACTGACAACTACAGCTTTATATTTCAAATAATAATTATAAATTATAATATTTGAAAATTATAATTGTAAAGTGGTATGCAGAAATGGTTACCTATGAAAAATAGGAAAAATACTACATGGTGCTAATTTCATTTATATAAATTTAAGAATTTGGCTTTACGTTCCTGACCTGAATAATATTGTTTTGTCTGTGATGCCACCAAACAGTAAACTAAAATGCATTTTAGACTTGTTTGAATTAAGGAGCTGGTTTTCATTATAATTTCTGGACTACATAATATTCAGTGAAGAATTTGGTCCAGCACTAGAATTAATCTGCAAAACCTACAAACCTGACCATTATATGCTTTAAATGACTAATAAAAGTAAATGGCTAAAGAAAGAGAAAAACTGACACAGGGTGTTCTTATAATTTAAAATCAAGCTGATATTAGATTACCTCCATTAAAAATCTCTGAATATATATAACAAGAGCTGTTTGTTTTTATTAGCCTTAAACTCAGTTAATTACGTTTGACATCTACTTCCCTCTGAAAGCATGAACTTTAAACATAAAACCTAGACCACATTGATAAAAAGAAACAATGTTACATCATGCTATTTTGGGATGAATCCCCCCATCCTTGATGCACCAGGATGCATATTGCAGATAGGCTACACCCTTATCTTACCACACTCTTAAGCACCTTTTTTCGAAAACATACAAAGTCTCTCTATGAAACAAGATCAATTCAAATTTCATACAATCTGTAAGGAATATTTCACTGAAGTACCAAGGCTTCGTGTAGTGAGGATGTTTTGTGCCAGGATTTTGCTATGTGAAGCATTTTAAACCCTATGAAACAAAACAAATGTGTTTTTTTTTTTTAAACAGAGGCTTATTCACTTCCTTTCAGGTTCTTGGCTATGAGGTAGAACCTGGTTGGAGTTGAGGAAAAGCTTACAATACTGTCTGTTATGAGTAAGTTATGTTGTATGATGAGGTATTGAACGGATGTGTCACACAAAGCTTTTGCACTGGCAGATAAAACCAATCCTTGTGAGTGATGGGCCTACTTCAGGCCACATGTGCAAAAACAAGTTAGGTAAAAGCATGATATGACAAGCATCTTATCTGAGCTTTCACATTATTAATTATTGCAACATGCCTATATTACTCTATGTTTAAAAACATGGAAATATATATATATATAAAAACTTGATAAAACATACTTTTGAAGGCCTTGATTATTGAGACCTTCTACCCAATTCTCTTCCCCAACTATGCGACTCCTTCCCTTTGAAAAACGTATTTCTTAAAAACATCTTCTCTCTTTTTCAGTCCTGTTACACAAACAGATGACTTTCACAAAAACAGAGAAGTAGAAAATGCACAAGGCAGGTTCATCATCCACTCAGCTGATTCTTTTAAAAACAAGTGACTGTGAAAAGAGCAACCTTTAAAGCTTCCTGCCACGGGACAAACCACCCATTAAAAACTTGATTTCTTAGTAATCACATCTGGACACAGGGGCTTCTTCAGGACTGCACTTGGCATTCTCATCGCTGATGTCATTCGCTGGCCCGTCATCAGCATATGGAGCTCTGTAATTGACCTCTGAGGCATCCTCTGGTGCCCCCCTCTGGCCATCTGCTGCTTCCCCCAGAGAGTCCGTGTGGTTGTTGGCCTCGGTGCCTGAGCCCATGTGCTTCTTACGCAAGTGCTGGTTGAGGGTGCCCTGGAAGGGAAAGCACTTGCCGCAGATCTGGCAGTGGAAGGGTTTGTTGTCCGTGTGGCCACGGATGTGATACTCCAGCTGGTCTTTGCGGGTGTACTTCTTGCCGCAGTATTTGCACACGAAAGGCGTGATGCCCATGTGCAAGCGCATGTGGCGGTCAAGGCTTCCTTTCTGGTTGAAAGATTTGCCGCAGTAGATACAGATGAGGCGCTCGTTGTAGGGGTACCACTGGCTGCGCAGACTGCGCTCCCTCATGTCGTTCTCCAAGGCCGTCCCTGTCGCTGCTCCCTCCCCATCCTCAGGGCCTGGCTTCAGCTGAGAGAGCACTTCGGCTGGGACTGGAACAGGACGTTTAGGCCGCCTCGGAGGGCCACCTCGGAAACCACTGAGAATCGAACGAGATGGGCTAGATGGACTAATGCTGACAAAGCAGGATGAGGGGAGTGCTGAATAGGTGTATCCAGCAGGGGGCAGGACTGGACCATATGAACCCACACTCACAGCTAGCACCTGCTCCCCATCCACAAGTTCCGTGTGGTAGCCATCATCACCTGCCGATGAGCTGTCAGAATAGATGGGCCGGTCTGGTTTCTCCAGTTTGATGTGGACATCTGTCACTTGGCCATCCTTTCCAATCAGATCCACCTGTTCTGGCTCAGCCTCCATGGACACCTCCTGCTCTGACACACTGTCACTGCTGCCACGATCAGACTGCCCCTCCTCTGCTAACTGTGCAGGGCCCCTGCTTGATGCCCTTACCTCCCCGCAATGGCTCTTTCGTGAGTAGTAGGGTGGGGAAATCTGGGTTGGGTTTACAAAAATACCCCCTTCTGTCATTCCATTGCATCCAGACCTGGAGGAGGCGCAATCTTCATCTGCATCTGCTCCACTGGGCACAGGGAGACTGATCTTGGAGTGGATACCTTCCAGGATCTGTGTGCACTTGTCAATGACAGCCTGCATTTGCAAGAAGCTGGCAGCAGTGAGGAAGCTGATGACATCGCGCAGACGCAGTTCCATGTGGCCCGTGTAGCAGAAGGCCAGCAGCTGCTCAAACACCTCAGGGTTCTTGATCACAGAGATGGAGAGGCCACTCATTGTGCCCAGAGCTGAGTGGTCACGGAAGTAGGGCGAGCTGGCAGCCAGAACAGCCTTGTGTGCCCTGAATGGCTGGCCCTGGATGTGCACAATGATGTCGCAAAGCTTACCCTGGAGCCGGAGCTCATTGAGCTGGTTCAGGACCGTGTTGCTGAACTCGGGCACATCAAACTCTATAAAGCCACCTTCGTCCTCCATGACTCATTGATGTCTCTCCTGGTTTGCAGAAAACCTAAAAAAGAAAACCCAACATGTGAGAGCGGAAGCCATTTCAATTATACATACAATGTTTTCTAAGGCCAGTAGCTGCTCAAACCCCATTTTGGCTAGTCAATCCACTAGCCAAAACTACATTTTATCCCTCAGACAAAGAAGTATGCAGTGCTGCTTAAACTGTCTGATCACACTTGACAGGCTGACAGTTTACAGATAAAAGAACACAAGGGTCAACATTCACATGTGAAATTATACTATAGTTTTTGAGAGGGCAATCCCAAGATTGCACCATATAGTTTTTCCTTAAATCCTTTTTTGCCAATTATACTGTCCTGTGAAAAAGTGAGTACACCTTTTTTTTTATTTTTTACATCTATGTGAGCACTTAATTTCATTAGCTAAGCAGTATGTATAGATAAATGTTACATAATAGAACGCAAAACAAAGAAAATTTACAAATTTTTATTTAAAAATAAATTAACTGATGATTAACTGATGTTTTTTAAAAAGTATATAAGTATAAAAACCCCTGGTTTATGTAAGTGTTTCCTATAACTATCTACCAGTTTCTGGCATCTCATTTCTTCCTTTGGAGCCATTCCATGGTGGATTTACTAGTATGTTTGGGATCTTTATCCTGTTGAAAGGTCCACTTCTTCAGCCTCAACTTTTTGGCAGATGGCCTCATATTCTCCTCAGGCACCCTCTAGTATAAAACAGAATTCATAGTCGATTTTATGATTGCTGGCCTGGCCCTGAGGCAGCAAAGCAGCCCCAAACCATTACAGTTTGTATAAAGTTCTCCTGAACAAATGCAGTCTTTGTTTTTTGCCAAACATGGCTTCTGGTACTGTGGCCAAATAACTTATCTTTGACTCACCTGTCCTTAGCACATTGTTCCAGTAGTCCTGGTCTATGCATAGCCATTGATAAGCATAGATATAGTATTGCACTGATTTTCTTTATAGACAGCAAATGCTTCCTTCTGATGCACCTCCCATGTAGGTAAAATTTGTGCGGCCTCGTTCTAATTCGTAGTTGCATGCACTTTGACATCCACCATGTCAACAGCTCTTTGCAGATCTTGTTATGAAATTTGGTGGTTCTTAAAAACGTCTTTTAGCATGTTACAGTCTGCACTCATGTTAAATGTGCTGGGGCAGCCCAGCCTGGACATGTTGGCAGTGGTTTTAAATCTTCTCTAGTTGTAGAAGGTCAGTGTACAAGGTGGACTGACAAGGTAGAAGTGTCTAATAGAGTGGACAGCGGGTGGACACAGTGTTTAAAAACTCCAGCAGCACTGCTGTGTCTGATCCACTCAGACCAGCGCAGCACACACTAACACACCACCACCACGTCAGTGTTACTGCAGTGCTGAGAATGATCCACCACCCAAATAGTACCTGCTCTGTGAGGGTCCATGGGGGTAGAGCTGGGCGATATGGCCAAAAATGTTATCACGATAAACAAAATTTATATTGTTCAATATCGATACATATCGCGACAAATGTCAAATCATTATTTCTTTCAAGTTTGAAGGCTGATTTTTGCTCCTGGGTGGTTAATTGCTGTTCGGAACACAACAAACACTCGCCAAACAGTGGATCATTTCACAAATCTGTCATGGGAGAGTGGGAGAGAGTGTCTGGTGAGCTGTTTTTACCAGCTGGAAAAGCATGGCTGTTTTGTAATAGTCATAATTTAAAAAAAAAAAACTGATTATTTTTAGCTGGTGACGAGCGCTCGGCTACCCCGCTACAAATGACATCACGGTATTCAGACACAAGCTAGCGACGACTGGATATTCAATTGTAGTAGTTTAAGGGGTGAACCGCAAAATATCAACACCAGACAGAGTCCTCCTTTTAGCTACGTTTAAACTGAAAGCGGTGCTTTTGTGTCATGTTTGATCTACAGTATCATTAATTCGCCGTGTCGTGCAGTGACAAAGCGCTGCTTTAAGTTAGCCAGCTGCTAAAAACAGCTAGCCTGGAAAGCTAGCGCTCTCCCGCTCTCCAATGCCTCACAGCTTCCTCACTTTACTTTTGTTTACATCAGGGCCGTAACTGCATGAACCCACTTCTTTCTTTCACTTTCGTTGCTTGGGAATGCACTCATACTTAAATATGACTATCCGAGCGCTGTAACAGCGCTGTAGTTGTGAGGATTGTGATTTAACACCACTAAAGTTGTTAGGATGTACAGAAAGAGGTGAGTTCGCTGTAGGACAGTACAGTTACACCACTGACCTCGTCACCCACACTCGGTCACAGGAGAACAGATCGCCTGTCGCGCCGCTCAAACAGGGAATGTATAACTTTCAGCCGTTGCTAAAGACCCATCTTACTCGTGGCCTCCTCCCTCTCTAATCGTGTAGAAAAACTCGGAAGTGCGCCCTTTCCTGGCGACAGCCCAGTAGTGTCGCTTTCCTTGCAGTAGAAAACGCCACCAAGGCTTTCGCTGAACGTGGAAGTGTGAGAATGGTGTATTATATCGAACATATATCGAACATGTCGTATCGCTCTATCGAGAAAAAGTTATATTGCGATAATTATCGTTATCATTTTATCGCCCAGCCCTACATGGCGGTCCTGACCACTGAAGAACAGGGTAAAAGGGGGCATAAAAGTATGCAGAGAAACAGACTGACTATAGTCTGTAAGTACACCTATATACTAAGTGGAGCTGATAAAATGAACAATGAGCATAGAAACAAGGAGGTGGTCATAATGTTATGCCTGACCAGTGTATATTATATATATTATGGGGTGCACTTACTTTTTAAAAATGTTAATTTTTGTTAAATTATATCACCTTTATCAACTGTTTAGTTTAAACAAAGACCCGATATCTGTATGTCCAAATATGCTGAAAACATCTAAACTTTTCATTGGGTATACTTCTTCACATGATTGTATCTACTGATGCCTGTTACACCTTGTTCAGTGAAATACAGATAGTGTTTTTAAGCCACAAGGAGGAGCTACTACAGCTAGGAAACCAGAAAGAATTCAATTCAATGCTGCTCAAAAAAGACACATTCAAAAAGCGTGTTTGTCAGTCTTTGTTTTTAAACTTGATGCTTGTTTAAAACCCTAGTCATAAACTGCTGAGCCACAGGGAACAGCACTCACTTACTGGGGTTTTAAACAAGGAAACAACAAGTAAACTAATAAACTCTGCACTTCAGTGCACATATCCTTGTCTTGGCCTCGCCAAACCTGTTGCACTTGCAAGTGACACGTCAGTAATTGCAGTTGGTCGAATGGCATGTTAGAAATCCTGGATTCAAACTAAGTACAACCACTGTACAAAAGAAAGCTGTTTTTGCAGTTTATGGACTTCTCATAACAATGATACACTCCATACCATACTTTTATTTCATAATAGCCACTTTTCTTAGGCCTAACATTTCCATTACGTTTAAAGAGAACATCTAGGTTGAGGATCTTTAAACATTTAGATACTTTATATCTACATCTGTACTTTGGACAGCACCAGCAATCTGTAATAAGATGCTGCAGCTGGACAATTTTACAGTGATTTGGGGAAAAAAAAGAAAATGCAGAGAAACAGGCAGTACCCTATTGTACAGAAACTCAGATCAACACAACACCAAGGGGAACTCCACCGAATTTGCAAAATTACTTGATCATTTAACCATTTAGAGTGGTTTGGTGTGAAATGCACCTTTCTAGAGAAATTTACTGAGTCAAAATTGTTCACCATTATAGTACCAGGAACCAGACATCCATATGTCTACACTATACGTCACCATTTTTTCTGCGATCCAAAATGACCGGTGAACTTGCATGCATCTTATAAGGTTTTATATGTCATGCTGAAAATGGTAAAACAGTGCTAAGTTCGAAAACATTTTTGGGTACTATTTTTTTCCTTACAACGCCCTGGATGTACCTCTCCGCCCTGCACGCCTTTTGTGTTTTTTGGTTTGGCGGTGTTGTGTCACACGGTGTCAACAAAACTCCTAGCTTACATGAGTAACGTTATTTATCAGAGGAGCTGCCATAGATCACAGTCGCACCTTGTTGTCCTACCCCATAAACTGGTAAGTAGTAAGTAGTTTGTTGTTGACATCGTCAATTTCCATTGGCCCAGGGTTCTTCTGCTTTGATGCCAGCGGGTTCAGGTTTAGTTTCTCTCTCTCACTTTCTCTCTTCTTCAAACTGCTGCAAGTCATTTGTGTATTCTGGTTCAAATCGATATGGCTGTACGACATTTTGGAAGCAGACCTGGTGTTATATCCAATACAGGATCCCCTCAAATTCATGTTCCCTTTGACAAATCAGGTCCTCGGGTGCGGGGATTCACTGAACAGAAAACAACGCCAAGCAACACTGGAACTACGGAAATGAAAAGTTTACAAAAAAAAAAACCTCACCCAGTCCCCAATATAAATTCACCCAAAAATGAGATTCAGTGATAAATATTATTCTCAATTCGAGTAAACAGTAAACAATCATACTGATAAACACTTTTTGTACTGTTCGTCACCGACTGGGTGAATACAACTGCCGTCCAAACTTTTTTTTTAACCTTTTCGCTTTCCATAGTTCCAGTGCTTGGTATTGTTTTCTGTTCCGTGAATGTGAGTGCCCACAGACTTGATTTGTCAAAGGGAATAAGAATTTGAGGGGGAACTGAATCGGATATAACACAGGCATTAGCTGTGGTGAACAGCTGTTAAAAACAAAAGCATGTTAGCTTGCATGCATTGATCCAAGTTGAAAATAGGTTTTGACAGGAAACACAGGAGGTAAACCTGGAGTAATAGTTCATATAAAAAAATATGTTTTAGGTCAAAACTTTATGACAAAACTATAATAAAACAATGTAGCATTTATAACCATTTTGTGTTATAGCTTAATGGGATGTAGCTTTTATAGCCATTAAATGCTGCGGGCGTCTAATGATTAAGTAAGTTTGCAAAATTATTGGAGTTCCCCCTTAACATTATGGACAACCGGTTAGTTAATGAAGAGGAGAGCCCTGCGC